AAAATGGATGGATGGGTTGTATTGATGGATAGGATATTAAACTCCAAAAATGGCACTACAGCATGTAAAAATGTAAAGATATGCTCTGGCGGGCTTGTTCTATAGTAGGTCATAAAAGGTTAAAAAAAAAAGTATTGTTTTTTATGTACGTTTATTTTGATCTAGCGTAACAGGTCACATGACTGGAGGTCAGGGGTCGCACTTTGGGTTGAGAGAGCCAACATAGCTACAGAGCGGAGAGCCAACATGGCTGCACAGGAAGTACATAAATAATAATATTCTGCATGGTCCAAGAGGTGCACACGCTAAGTGTCATTTTGTACCTTTATATCTGTATTTTTTGTACCTGATTATAATTTTGTTTAAGTGGCCTGTATGGACAATTTAATATATTTTCTGCTGCTGTGTTACCTTTTTTTGGGACCTGTCTATTATCAGCGTTCACTCTGAACTGGAAAAGAATTGAATCGTGAGGTATCTAAAGATTCCTGCCACTAGTTACACCAAATCTAAAAATGAGTAATGACTCCGAAAAGGAGTTTGACACAAATTACAGCTCTTGCCTTACATCAGTCCCTCTGCACACTCCCTCACCTCTCCCACTCTCCACTGGAGAGGAGCACCTCACAGACTGAAAATCTGCTGCATTTCATTTGACTATTTATGAAAAATCTAAATCTAAAAATGCAAATTAATTTTACAGAAAAGGACTTTTTTGTATCCATGGACGAACCCTTGCTGTGACACAAAAACAGACACCATGATATACAAGTTCACAATAAAATAAACCTGATTTACATTTTGTTAATATAGCCTCATTATTTAACACGACAAACTGAATTCACTCAACCATCTAACTCGTTAAGAAGATCACAATTCCAGTTGTCACTGGGAGCGAGTGTTTAGCTTTTCTGTGCTTCTCACTCTGCTGCTGCATTAAAATGCACCACGGGTACATTTCATCACACATACTGGTCAGGACAGCATGTCAGGGGATATTTCCTCTTGGTAGCGTGCGATGGGGCATCAAGCTCTGTCAGCAGTTCAGACCAATGATAGATGGCATACAGGCATTAAACTGTGGAGCTCGTGGTGTGACAACCCAAACACACACACACGCACACACACACACACACACATACTGACTCACACTCCTGATGGTCTAGTTTGTTTTTTATATTTGAGAAGACATGGCACTGAAGCTGCTGACCTTATCTTGTAACAGGACCATTAGGGCATCAGTGCTACACAGCCAGTGAACCAGGATGTAAAACTATACAGCTCGCCATAATCTGATGCAGCAGATGACCAAACCACTCTGGATACAACACAAGAGAGCCTCCGTACTGCTTCCTGTCCACAGACTGGAGTCATTCAGAGTGTTGTGTAGATTATTGTAGGTTTTATTTCTTTTAGATTTGGTACCACTTTCTACTAAGTCACCTTCTCATGAAGTGTTTTAACCACTGGCTTTATTCAGGGTTATTTTTTCCATTTTCTATTGCTAGTTCTATATCAGTTTAATTCACTTATAATCCATCAACATGAACAGGTTTTGCCAGGCTTAGTTTAAATAATTATTCCATTGAAAATAAATCTGAAACTATTTTGCTGATCATTTGATCGACTCAGTCATTTTTTAAGCAAAAATGCCAAAAAATATGATATTCAAAGGTTCTCAAAGGTGAGGATTTGCTGTTTTCTTTGGTCTTACATTGTAGTAAATATAATATCAATGGGTTTGGAAATGCTAGCCGGACAAAACAAGACATCTGATGAAGTCATTTAGGATCTGGGATATTGTAAAAGGCTTCTGTCACTGTTTTGTGGACAAATCGATTACTTAAGAAAATGAGATTAATCTGTAAAGTACATAATCATCAGTGTTGCCTCTTTTACTACTCTCTGACAAAGCAGCATTTGTAATGAGTGATAAATTGTAATGAATGACTTTATTTACAATTAACAAGTTATTTACAAATTATTTTTCAGGGCTGCCAGGTTGACATTTATTGACATCTTATTAACACACACAGCTGCAGACTGGATGGATTATTGTGAAAACTCAGTTAATTTGACACCATGTATAACTGCTGCTGACATGATGGCTTAAAAGGAAGTGAGCCATGAGTTATGAATGGATTACTAACAAATGCACGTGATAGAAGAAGTACAGATCTTTTACTTAAGATTAAAAAAAAAACACAGTGTAGAAATACTCTGTTACTACTTACTACTACTTCAAGTACTCATAATGCAGAACTGCTCATTTCAGAATGATATCTGTTATATTCAGTGTTGCGAAGGTAACTTTTGAAATGCAATAGGTTACAGATTACTAGTTACCTTGTCAAAAATGTAATAGGTAATGTATGGGCGTCACCAATGGGTGACGTCACGGTAGCCATATCCAGTCTATAAAGGCAACTGTATGACTGTTAGAGCCTACATATAATTTTTTTTTTACCAAAAAAATATATATTTAGATGTAAGCCCTTTGTAATCGCCATCATATTGATTAATAATAACCCTAGTTTAATTACATATTTTTCTCAGTAACTACAACAAATCACATTTATTTTGTAATTTTGTTATGTGTAACTAGTTACTCCCCAACTCTGGTTATATTCCTGATACATTCATGTGTTCATTACTTTAATGTTGCAGCTGATTAAGGTGGAGCTCAGTTTAGTTGCTTTATATCTTTAACAATACGTCATCATTTATTTGTTAGTTTACAATTTGTGTTAATGATCTGAATCTGTAAAGTAATAAGCAACTTTAGTACAAAGTACAATATTTCTCTGTGAAATGCAGTGGAGCTGAAGCAAAAAGTAACATCGATACGTATAGATAGATCTTAAATTTGTACTTAAGTACAGTATTTATTCATTCATTCATTCATTCATCTTCTAACCGCTTCATCCTCTTGAGGGTCGCGGGGGGGCTGGAGCCTATCCCAGCTGACATTGGGCGAGAGGCAGGGTTCACCCTGGACAGGTCGCCAGACTATCGCAGGGCTGACACATAGAGACAGACAACCATTCACACTCACACTCACACCTATGGACAATTTAGAGTTACCAATTAACCTGCATGTCTTTGGACTGTGGGAGGAAGCCGGAGTGCCCGGAGAGAACCCACGCTGACACGGGGAGAACATGCAAACTCCGCACAGAAGGGCTCCCACGCCCGGGATCGAACCGGCAACCCTCTTGCTGTGAGGCGAGAGTGCTAACCACCACACCACCATGCCGCCCAAGTACAGTATTTACTGTAAAGTAAATACTTAGTTACATTCCACCACTGGTTTTTACTGAATTAGGTAAACACCTGCCAAAGGGTTTTTTTCACAACCTGGCAACCCAAAACTTCTTAATGATTGCGTATAACTAATCAAATGATTCAGTAAATCATTTGAGGCCATTATTTACAACTTAAAAACCTTGTCTCACAATAAAATGGTAAATGCGAGACTCTTAAATACTGTTTATGACAATTTCTTATTAGTTGATTTATTTTTTGTATTTATAATGTGAATCTGCAAAGTAGGTCCAGCTGTCAGATCAATGAGGTGAAGTACAAAGTTCAATATTTGCCTCTGAAATGTAGCAGAGCAGAAGCAGAAAATAACATCAAATGCAAATACTCAGATAAAGTATAAATACTTTGAAATTATACTTAAGTAAATTACTTGAGTAAACCCTTAGTTACATTTCAACCAATTTTAAACACCAGACAAATGGATTTTTCACAACCTGAAAACTTGTTGTAATCACTTCTAAGTAAATGATTAGTTAGGAACTGTTCGTTATTTGTAAGGGGGATAGGGGGAGTGCAAAAAGGGAGAGGCACGTCAAATATTTTTTTAACGACTGGGGAGGGACTTGTGTTTTTTTTTTTTTAAGCTTAGGGTAAGGATATACAACTTTAAATGTATTTTGTATTTGTTTTACTGCCAATTTTCAGAAGGCATGTGTCTTTAACCCTTTGAAACCTGAGCAAATTGGCTTGATTTCTTTCAAAAACATGGGAAGAAGGCAATGAGCAACTAAAGAAGAAATGAACCAAAAAATTAGCACAGAAATAGTAAAAAGACTAAATTTTAAAAAATAAAAATTTGTAAAAGAAAAAAAAAGGAAAAAGTGACTTGAAAAAGTGCTTAAAAATGTAAAGATTTTAAAATGTAAGAATAATAATTCTTATGAAAATATTTTTTCCCTAGATTTTTTCTTTTTTCCCTTTTTTTAATTGAATTTTTTTTTATGCAATTTGTGTTACATTTCTTCCTAAGTTACTCACTGCCTTTATTTCCATGTTTTTGAGAGAAATAGCACCAATTTGCTCGAGAAATACTTGCAAAAGGCGTCTGAAAACAGCACTAGAAAAGTGATGTCACTCGAGGTTTGAAAGGGTTAATCGCCATCATAGTCATAGCTAGAAACTGTCCAAAAACAGAAATTATTGTTGGATTATCAAATATCCGACGGTCCGTGAACTCATCATCATCAAAATCACTTTATTCTGCATGTCTCACTTGAAGTTTGGCCAAAAATAAACCAAACCCAGTAAGCATGACAACAGTGGAAAACAAAGGCTTTTTTCAACTCCAGGATTTTGTCTTCATCTTTTAACTATTAACTTTCAAACATCAGGGTAACTTTTTTATGGTGGAGACAGCGTCATGCATTTTCTGCTAGTGACTCAGGGAGGCTCAATGAAAAATATCTGTAGCTTTGAGGAGGGTAAAACAACAACAACGAAACCAAAGTCACACTCAAGCCACCTGCCTCCTCTGATAAATACAGAACAGTCCCTTATTCATTAATAAAGCCATTACTTAGAACGTACAAAACCCCTGATTCTGATTAATGTAACCACTTTGTATGAGACAGCACTTTTCATTGACCTGTTTGTGGAACATTATTGGTCCACAGAGTTCCACCAAAACTACAAATGACAATATAAATAAATAAATAAATAAATGAGGTTGTACTCACCATGTTGACCTCTGACACCATGTCTATACTCGCCACATCTATACTCATGCCAACAGCCACCGGTGCACCTTCAAACACACAGAGGAAAGTTAACAGTGATTCATAATAACAACACAGACAGGTAGAGAAACATCTCGGGGAGCCATTAGGGTGAAACACACCAGCTGAGGATCCTCTAACATACCTCCAAAGTCCGGCCGGAGACGGATATCATATCCTTTCAACAGTTTATCCACAGTCTCTTTGACGTAAGACATGTTCCCCGGCTCGTTAACACTGAAAGAGAGAAGACAACAGACATGGTGACTCTTCTGGAGGACAGACACCCACGTCTGTGTCCGGTTGTAACACCGGACGGACGCTCACCTCTGGTTACAGCACATCACCGCCATGAGCAGCAGTGACAGGATATCAAAGAGCCCTGTTCTCCGGGGTCCCCACATCCCTGTGCGGCGTGTGGACCGTTGGGTGCCGTCCAGCGTTCAACAAATGACTGAGTGAAGGAGCCACGGTGCTCACACTGCCTCCTGAATCAGGTGAGACTTGTCCCACATTGTGTCTACCTCTGGCGCAGTCGGTGTTAACATGCTTCATGAGGCAGCGGCGCGGGGACTTGGATGTCAGGCGTGTTCACGGCTGCCGGGGAGACAGCAGCGGAGCCGCAGAGCCTCGGTCAGGCTGCTCCGTGTCTCCATCCTCCGGTCAGCAGCTCTCAGCCTGTCGCGGGTTAGCTCACTGTCACACTACAAAGTGCTGCTCACGTATCCATCACTGCACTCACTGCACGTGTGGTCACATATGAGAATACACATCCACAGGTCCTCTGTCCACAGGAGCCACATGCGTAAAATAATCCCTGACAGAGCCGGTTCAGACTGTGGCTAACTCTGAGTTTGCATTATGACTCTTCATATCAGTGTGCTCGAGCTGCCCTGGTCATTAAAAAAAAAACCACGTGACAGACTGCATACAGAGGCTTGTATTGACGTGAGAGTCTCAGACAGAGCAGGAGTTCAATTATGTTGAGATGCAGTGCTGAGAGGAAGGGCTGAAACCTTTCCAACAACAGACCACAGTGTGTGTGCCATAATGAGACACAGGGGCGTAGCACCAAATTCTGGGCCCTATCCATGAGCTTTCTATGTGGGCCCCCGACCCCTCCTCTCTTGATCCATGTCTCACTCAACCTTTTTAAATAGGAACTGTGCAAATTTGCAGGAAAGCCCAGTCAGTTTTTTTTCAACATTGGCAGTATAAAAACAAAATCGGGGAGTGCAGCAAAATGCCGCCTACCTACTTTTGTTTATACAGAATGCGCCTTTTTCGGGGCAATGGGGAGCGTGAGCAAGTAACAAAACGTGTAGCTCAGCGTGTGACGTAAATAGTGACGTGGGAGGGAAGCCGCGGCTGGTCAGTCCTTCGGCGATTCTCTCATAAGTTGGCGTCAACGTCCCCGTCATCTGACGGTTAATGGCCTCTTCTTTTGCGAGGACAAGGACGGCACACAATTCTTTGTCTCCCCAGTTGATCATCTTTACAGTGTCTTTCAGTTCAGGTTTCTGTTTCCCTCTTGCTACTAGCTGCTCGCTAATTCCTGCTATCAGCTGTTTCCTGTTAGTCCACCGCCAGTGGGTCGCACGTGCAGCGTCATCAACAGCTCCTCCCACAAGTCATCAACAGCCCCTCCCGTGGCGGAAGGGCGCCTTGTTCTTTTTAAACCAAAAAGTTTCCGCCAATATGTCTACCCCTATGCGGCGGAAGATTGGGCACCTCGGATCCACTCACTAATCCGGCTCTGTGTGTCTAAACGCTCACAGCTTGCCGGCCAAACGGCCCAACATTCACAGGAAATCTGACAGTGTAAAAGGGGCTACTCAAAGCACCTTTTGGCTGCATCCAAATGTCCACTAGAGCTGCACCCGACCAAGGATTTTCCTAGTCGAGTAACAGTCGTCATTTAGGGCCATTAGTCAACTAGTCGCCTGCATGTTTATGATATTAATTTGATTATTAAATGATATATATTTTGGTGGTTTGAGTTGAAGGTGTGAGAAAGAATAGTATCAGTAACATTGTTAACACTGTGCTACATTACAAAGAAATACAAAACCGTACTAATGAACCTTCATTAATATAGGCCTATATTTTATCTACAAGTGCACGTCACACACTGAGCGAGCCGCCTGTTAATGACGCTGTGGGCTAATGGGCATGTAGCTACTTCCATGTTTCAGATGATACGTCATGTTTGTAGTCGACCAATGAAGATGAGTTTACATATCATCTTGGGTTCGTCCTTCACCTTCTCAGAATGATCCCACACTTTGGATTTCCTGCCCGACATGTTATTAACTTGCCTTTTATTTCAGCAACTGCTTGAATGTTGGCATTGTTTGTTTCTGCAAACCACAAATACATTTGTACATTGCATACATTTCATATTAACGTTTCTAAAGTGACGGAATATAAGCTGACTTTGTCACTGGGAGGTTGAGGGGATGTTAGATGGCGTTTGTACTGGCAACGCTTTGCTGCGTTCCCCAGCTGCTTTATAAGCTACTGAACCTGAGAATATTTCACCGACCTGTCGACTTTTCCAGCAGCTTTTGTGTTTTAAGCCCAAACATGATCTTTTCCTGACCAGAACCAAATGATATTTGTGCCTAAACCCAACCACACTTTCACCACAGCCATGCCGAGGAACATTAAGTTTCAAAGTTTTCACTATAAAAAATAAATGCACAAATGTATCTATAGTTTTCAGAAACATTCACTGCAAACATTCTCTCTGGCACCTGGGTTGTAGATGCAACGATGCCCCCTGTAAACTAGGTGGTGGTGATACGCAACGTCAGAAGCAACGCTTGCAATCTGCCGTGTAACAAAAAGAAGATGAAGCAATTATATGCACAGCTGAAGCAGGAAGCACCTTGACATTTCCATGATGGAGAAAAGGCAGACAATTGGTGCATAAAAATATCACCAGGATGCAGGGGACTGAAGTGATTGATGCTCAAAATGTCTTTGGAGGAAGACCCCAAGACTTAATATGTGTTTCACCAAATGTTAAAACAAAACATACTCTTTTGCCTCGATGTTTTATTTTAATGTCACACCAGAGCAGCACTCAAGCAGCCAAAGTGTCTCTTGTCTATTCAGGAACCTCGCTGGTTGTCTGTACATGCCCCAGTGGTTAGCTCAGTCACCCCCCAATAGACCTTTTTCATGGCAGACATTTTGACTTGTAATAGCAGGAAAAGCTCAGGTGTATTTGTTAACATTAAGGATGGCTGCATTCCACTTAGTGCAGGCCCTGGTATTGCGCATGCTGGCTCAGTTTAATTGCTTACTGGGACACTTAATGGAACAGAGCCATCGTTAATGATATCATTTTCATCTGTGCTTTTCCTACTATGACAAGTCAAAAATGTCTGCTGTGAAAAAGATCTATGAGTTGCTCAAGTCCAGCTCCGGTGTGAGAAAAAGTGGTCGTCAGGAGAAAATGTTGCGCGTTTCTGCAAACTGCGTGCAGTGAAAAAAGTTTCCGCCCAGACTTTGACCCCCGCGGAATTCGCCGGTGGAGCTACACAGCTGGGCCAATGGAATTGTTTGTTTATAGTCGCGCAGACCCGGGAGAGTCCGAAATCCAGTCAGGCAGGACAGTATGGGAGAAAGGTTGATAAACCTCGTTTCACAGCACCCCGTCCTTTTTGATAAAAGACGGGATGATTTTATGAACAATGAATTAAAGGACAGCGTCTGGCAGCCCATTGTCCAGCTTGGTGGCTGCGGTGAGAGTGGTAAGTGCTAAAGAAAGTTGATGTTGGCACTTGTTAAACGTTAGCTTGCTAGCTCGCTGCTGCTGCTACTCTCGTCCATGTTCACCCTAGTCTCTATATACAGACTCTACCTTCAGTGAATGTAGAGTCTGTAGGCTGTTTGTAGTCTGCGTGATATTGACCAATCACGTTTGAGCCGGCTGCAGTTGTTGCCAGGTTAAACGGTCCGTGAACTAACGAGGCGGAACATAATTGGCGTCACTGCAAACTCTGAATCCATCGCAATGGTTCAGCATATTTACTTATATATAAACGGGAATTCACCTCCTCCGCCCAAATCAAACCGGAATGCCAAAAAATCAGGGGTCTGCCCCCAGAGGCTGTATCGCCGTCTGCCGGAAGTCAGACGCCAAATACAGCCGATGGGTTCCGAGAATGTGTTCACCAACACTCATTCACACTGTGCAGACTTGGATCACAACAACACGAAATTCTGCACCGTGTCCGTACCGCGCCTGTGTGTATGGTTTAAACAGGAAAAGCGCTGCATGAATATTCCGCAAATCCGTCCTGCATTTCCGCATCGCGGCAGTGAGAATGAACCTTTAGTGTATAATCACCTGAAAAAACAGAATTGTTGTGTTTTTGTTGCCTTAGAATGAGCTGGTTATGTCTACATATGGAGCGGATCCTCTTCCACAGAATTCGCCATGTTGTTTCTACAGTAGCCCAAAATGGACAAACCGAACACTGGCTCTAGATATGGCCATTTGCATTCTTGCTTCGTCATTTAGGGCAACAGTAATTCTCCTATACGTTTGGAGAAGTTTCAGTTGGTTGCAATCTGCAAGCTCACCACTAGATGCCACTTAATCCAACACACTGGACCTTTAACTTCAGTTTAAAAAACTTAATTTATTCTCTTTGCTGTAGAAGAGCCCAGGTGTGATGTATAGAGACACAGAGAAGTCATCTGACGACTATACGATTAGTGTTAGATAGGCAAAAGGGGTTTTGGTGGGCCAAATGTAAAAAATAACATACAGTATTCATTATCATTTTTGTATAGAAGCATCTTTTGGACCCACAGATTTTCCATGGAGTTGCTTCAGTCTGCTCCTGATGACTTTGCAAGTTCAGTATATCCTCGTTGTCTCTTTGTTTATTCTTGGCAGCAGGAGTGAGAATGAATCTTTGGATCTGGTGTGAAATACTTTTGTGTCACTCAAAGTTGTTCCTGTGAAGATTTCAGAAGAAAGCTATCTGTATACTTTCTGTCTGAGCTCTTTTTTTTCTGTGTGCTACAGTATTTGCCGTAGTGGAAGAAGTTCAATATCACTGCAGGGGATGAGCGAGTGTGCCTGAGCTGGACTCTTCCCAACAACTTTCTCCTTCCATTTATTCAAGCAATAGACTCTCACTGCATTTCAGGATTAACACTATTACTCCTACATGACTTTTTAGGAAGTGTTTCTTACCTCGTATCGTAGATGGCGTACAGCTTTTTGTTCCCATCAACAGCATTCCTGCAAATACAAAAGAAGGAGGAATTACTTTCTGTGTCCTGACTCTGACTTTTCCCATGTCCCAGCTGTAGACTTGTTTCTGACTCCACACTGTCAGGAGACAGAAGCACCAGAGGGCTTTCACCTCGAGTCCAAATTCATAAAGGTGCTGCTCTTTTAAAAACAACTCTTTGCACTTGGTCTTATCTTTTAACATTTAAAAGAAATCCAGCATTATAACTGACTCAGTTGTAAGTGGATTGGCCCTGATCCAGGTGGAGACGAATGCAGAATGATGAGATATACTGTAGAGTTCTAGTTGTGCTGCTGGCAGACATGTGTGACATATAGTCTCCTCCTGCAATCTGGACCATAAAAAAAAAAAAAAATCAGGACTCAGTTTTTTTCAGGTTTGTGTCCCACATAAGACAGGCCCACAATAGGCTGATCTATCAAAAAAAAACCATCAACAAGTCTTCCAACCCATATGACAACATGGGTTGTTTATTCCCACCCTCTAATGCGACCCACAGGAGCGTTTCCTAAATTACCACCCCTGCAGATGTGTTCTCGTACCCATACTACCATACTATTTCGTATGCCAGGAAAAATGGGCATGTCTCAATACACAGTATGTCAAATGCAGTACGCCAAAAAATACCACAATATTGGCAATATGCAAGCCAGCGTACTTTTCTGGCTGTTCTGACCCACAATCCTTTGGGACGTAGAAGATATGTCACATTGACTAAGCTGCAGACAGATGACAGTTTGTGCTACAGACTTTTATGAATACATTGGCAAGAGGGTCAAAGCTCAAGGTGCAATGTTAAGATGAAGTAGTATGTCCCTATTTTATGCATACTCACCGCAAAACATACTGAAAGTACAGAAAAAGTGTACGATTCAGTTTAGGTTAAATTAAGTGTGTTTGTTACATCACAGCATGAAGTTATATACTTAAAGTAATGTGAGACATGGCAGGACAACATCACATTGAATGTAGTGACTTTTTTACCAAAACAAAATCTCAAAACAAGCCACTGAGGGGCGAACAAGTGAACTTGTTCTATACACGTGTTCTGGGCTAATGATAAACCAGTGTCCAGTTAGACTCACAAGTCAGTCTTTAGACAATTTGCTTAACTAAAGACTGATGTCTTTCTCCCTGATTTTGTGTTTAGATGGGCGGATACAATTTCAGAGTGTAAAAAACTCCCTACATTGCAGAACCAATAGTAAATCTGCAGGGTGGTCCTTCGGTGGCTCGCTGAACTCTTGTGCTCGTAAACATAGTCCGACTGCGTTAAAAGTTTTAAACAAAGCCGCTGTACGTCCTTCATTTCCACAATCTTGTGGACTGAGCACACGTTTGATAAAACGGAGTTAAATTTCTCTGCATCCATTTTCATGCTCTCTGTGTGTGTGTTTCCTTGCGGACGAGAAAAGGGGGAGCGCACATTTCCGGGAGGGCGTGTCCTTTTCAAAAATGCAAGAGGCGTTGCTTTGTTGCCGGCCGTTTTCTCCGGTGTGTTAAACACACTTTAGAAAGGAGTGTTCCCAGACTATCAGAAGGCGGAGATCTCTGATTGTCTGGTGGCGAGACTAATGTCCAGTGCACTTTGTTTCTTTGGATTTGGCGCCCATTTGTACTCAATACAATATACACTTGCTCACCATAACAGAAGGGCGACAGCGTTGTCCATATGTAGTCATTATTCCATTCAGCAATTCAGTTATACACGCCAATACCTTCTACTTTTAAACATGCTTCCACAACACGGTCAAAAACTGTTTGCTTCCCCATTCCACACCTGATTCTCATTACCTGGAGCTTCACTATATGCCCTTCACACATGAAAGCTCCACTGTGTGTCCAGTTTAATAACTGCATGTGTATATCTATTTTTACCTTGTTTAGATAAGGATAGAATAAACAAACAAAACTATGGCTCCAGCATTAAGTACATAACATGACATTATGTCTGTATGCAAGTTAAAGTAATTCAACTTTGACTTATGCATTGGGACACAGTCTCCTGGGACAAAGCCCTGTGTTTGTTTGACCTGCTGGTCCACCTTACAGCCACTAGAGGCCGCCACCTTACAATAAACGTTAATATGAGTTGTAATAGGACCCGCAGACATGCTGCATTGTTTGTGCCCTCATGTGCAAGGCGCGCTCAAAAGCGAGAGCGAAGCCGTCATCGCCGCAAGTGCCTATTTCTATTATATATTATGTGCCTTATTTTTTTTACAAACTTGACACCTTTGCGAGTCACTTGTGGTCCATTCAGACCGCTGGGCTGCCACATGTCCCACTTATCTCAATAATATTTTTCTAAGAAGACATTTTTGAAAGTGACTAGCTTTGTTAACAAATGCGAATCATCTGCTTCTCTGTGAACATTGTGTATTCATGTATGAATATGTACATCTCACTCATGACTTGCCGAGTGTTTTTCAGAACTTTTTTAAGTCTTCCCTCTAAGGACCTTTATCTCCCATATTGTCGAACTTCTCTTAATCAATATTCACTGAAATACAGAGGACCCTCTCTTTGGAACAACCTTCCTTCATCTCTACAATCATCATTGACATTATCGTTCAGAAAACTTTTGAACATCTTGTTGTTGTAAATTGTACACCTTTAACAATTGTGTAGGACTTTTTAGTCTGGAACTCTCAATCAGTTGTGCAATCTTCGTATTTATCTTTTTCCTTTTATGCATGATTATTGTATATAATAGGGGAGGTGTCCTTATAAGCCATTTTGGCTTCTAACCTTTCCTGCACCATGTTTTAACTTTTAATTTCTTTTCTCTGTATTTCCCATGCATTCATTCAGTCATTTTCTGGACCCGCTTATCCTGTTGGGGATCACGGGGAGGCTGGAGGCTATCCCAGCTGACACAGGGCAAGAGGTGGGGTACACCTAAAGAGACAGACAACCATCACACCTACACCAGTTTAGAGTCACCAATTAACCTGCATGTCTTTGGACTGTGGGAGGAATCCGGAGCACCCAGAGAAAACCACGCTGACATTGGGAGAACATACAAACTCTGCACAGAGGGCCTCCTCCTGAATCCCCACCCTGGGTTCAAACCAGTGCTAACCACTGTACCACCATGCTGCCATTTTTTATACATGTATGTGCAAATAAATGAAACTAAACACACTTTTGCACCGCGTCCCGCCAGATGGGAACCACCGCTTTAATAAAACGAACATATTTTTTATTTTAGGTGTTATTCACAAACCCCATGAGTCATTTTTAGAGTGTCATTTATAACACTGCTAAAATTAAGGGAGGAATCACACTAAATTCCTTCAGTTAGTATATGAATTCAACTTTGCTGCAACATTAGACATTCAGAATACAGACAGTGTAATTTGCAGATAAAAAAATCATTGTAAGATTATTAAAGCTTTCAGGAGGGTTATGTTGTTGTGGAGATCCCTCTTATGGTTGTCATTGTTACTACTGTTAATTTTGTCCTTTTATTCTTTCCTTCTCTCTCTGTGTGTCTCCCCCTCCCTCCCCTATCTGTCTCCATCTCTCTCCTCAGCATCTCTCCTCCTCTCCTCCTCCTCTCACTGGCCACAGATCCTCCCGCTTCTCTGGCCGCACTGCTCGCTCGTTTCTTTAATTCGCACCAGAGTCTATTTGCATTGTACTTCGTCTTTGGATACACTATTGGATTTTCTGCAGAGCTTGCTGTGTGCTCGCGGCTCCTCGGAGACCAAACTAAAGGATGGTCAGTCAGCACAAGTGTTGGGAAGCCTTTACATTTTCGCTGCCAACCTTTTAATCGCTGTGGGGCGAAATAAAGCTCGCTGACAGTGGAATTAGTCCACAGCTTTTCTCTCTGTCTCTCCGTGTCTCTCGTGTCTCTGTCTCCCTCTCCAATATGCAGTCACTGTGCGCGGATGGAGGTGACGTTCTTCAGAATTGATGCCAAATACTAAACAGTGCAATCTGCGTGTGAGACATCTGCGGAGCTGGGAGAAGTTTGACTGCGCATCGTCTTGTGTGGTAAGATTTGGTAACTGCGGCTCAGCAGCGCCTGTGCAGCAGAGCGTTGTTATAGGCCAGCGTACAGTACGAGATTTAGTGGGACGTGTGGGCATTGGAGAAGAATAGGCTACTGTAGTCAGTGTGTACCCGAGGTGTGCTGCTGCTGCTGCTGCTGCTGCTGCTGCTGCTGGAGGAAGGGACCTGCACCGGGATAGACTTCTGAGCACGGTGGTGATGAAAGCTGGAGGAAGAGAGGTATTCACTTTGCCTCCTGCTGCTGGAGGGAAATCAGGCGGCTGGTAGGGATGTGTGTGAGTGCAGGAGTGAGTCGTGAATGAAGGGGATGCGGTGCAGGGTGCGTACAGTCACAGCAACACTGAGGGGATTCAGTTACTGTATGTGAAGAGTCCAGCTGCGGTGCAGGAAGGATTGCGGAATTACAGCTGTGCAGAGGTATTTCACACCTTCAGCTCTGACTGGATATCCAGTGGTGGGAATACAGCTCAGCTCAGCCCGCACCCTGTCAGAAGTCATCAACTTATAGAGAACATTAATTAGTGAGATGGAGCAGAGGCTCCTGCAGTGAGATGGTGGACTGGGAGAAGGTCCAGCACAGGCAGTAACACGCTGTTTGCAAGTCTGAGAGAGAGGAACTTTGTATTTTCATCTTTTTTTTTATTCTGACATGCTGCTAACATCTGTGCAGATGTTGTCTTATAGTGGTTTGGAAGGCAGATTGTGACTACATTTGGGTGCATGGAGATTGCTGCATTGGGTGTTGTGATACTGTCAGCACATTGCTGTGCTCCTGTGGTGTAGTGAAAACATTTGTGCACCTAAGAAAGATTAGCTGATCACTTTGTACACCCACATGCATGTAGTGAGGGTCGACTAGCTGCCAGTTAGGCTACAATGGTGTTTTACAATGAGATATATATGATATTTATTATTTAGTTTCCAGGGTGCAACAATGGAGGCTCTACAATGAATAATTCTAAAATTAAATTCTGTTTTAATTTGAGATAAAAGCAGCCAGTCAACAACCTTTTAAACAGGTGAGGATGTCTTGTTTCAGGAATGGGCGATGGAATGTGCTACAGCTTTGCAATGAGACGTCTGTGGGTCTGTGTCTTGCTTGTGAGCATCACCTGCCGTCTGAGGTAAGGAAGTGACTGGTGTAACTTTGCAGGGCAACATAAAGGCACATTTTGAAGAATCAGTGAACACACATTGTGTCTGTGTTATCTGCTCAAATGATTAAAATGTAAATTTTAAGTTACTGTTTTTATAAGTGAGTTAGATTATCTCTGTGTCTGTCTCTCTCACACATCCAGCCTCTCCCAGGATGTAACTGGAACTCCCAAAGAGGCTGAAATAAATGACAACATTACCATCTTCACACGCATCCTGGACGGGCTGCTGGATGGTTACGACTACAGACTCCGCCCTGGACTGGGAGGTAGGCCCACTGGATATACAAACCTCAACACCTCTGACATTTTGGTAATTAAAGCTGTCACACATACACTAGGTGAGAACTAAATATGTCATTATGAAAGTGTCCAGGGGGAGCCTCTCTTTTCTAATAACAACTACAGAAAGCTGTACTTGTGTTGTTCAGCCTCTGTATTGATAGCTCTGTATGAAAGCTTCCAGCCCTCCACTCCACGCAGAGAACAATGCTCCGCACCGCAACATCTGTCTCCTGCTCGTCCCAGACAAGGAAAAATGTGTCTATGTCCGTGGTGTCTTTGACAAAGAGGCATGATCAGCTGTTTACGTCTCCTCTAACTATGATTTAATGGCACTGTGAACACACGCTGAAGCAGACAGTGACGGTGTGACCTTGAGAAAGCCGTTTTTTCCTGTCATAAAACAGCAGCTCCATTGTTCTCAGTCGAGGCGGGCCAAAGTAAGAAACGACTGAAGTTCTCATCAGAAAGGATGGATGAAAAAGCAGCAAATCGGAAAATGTTTCTCCTCTGCTGTTCTGTGATTTCAGTGTGTTAGGAAACAGTACATTGTTTAGATCATTATAGTTTAACGCCGTTAAATAATTATGTATCATGAACTCTATTTGGCCCTACTGAAGTAAAAGTGTGGCACTTTAAGGTGAGTGTGTGCTGCTTACACTCTGTTTCTTATTGCGCTGGTCCTGCAGATGTTTGTCTCGAGGGCACTGAGCTGTTTTGATACCTTCAGGGTGTCAAGGCTGTTTAGGACATGCTGCATTCATCTGGAGAGTTCCAGTGATGCAAAATAGTTACAGCGAAATCAGCATTCTTTCTAAACAGATGAGGGGAGGTGGACTCTGTGTTTACATCAGTGATGCTCGCTGTCTAAAAATAGTCAAAGGTGATTTACATTGTTTCTCTGATGTTAAATTTTTTAATGTTAAGATGCCAACAATGTAGAGCGGTAAAGAGGTAATTGTTTTTTTTGCGTAGACCAAACCAGAAGTTAGCATCACCCTGGTTCCCTCGTCAAATAGCCAATGGGATTTTTCCATTTGATTTTGGATTATTGCAGAAAAATAAGCTCTGTGGCAAAGACAAGTCTGTGATACTTACATGATTTGTTCAGCAGGATAGTCTTCCCAAAAAAGGCTGACTTTATATGATACGATACGCTACGATGCAATACGATACGATACGATACGATATGATACGCTATATACGCTTTATTGTCCCCGCATGGAAATTCGTCTTGGACTAAGAAGCTGCACAAGTATTGCTGCCTTCCGATATAAATCCAGAAGAAATGAAAAGCATACGCCATAAAAAATACATAAAAACACACACTACACATAACTGTGTTGCACATCAGCCACTCATGTATTGCACAACACCAGCAAACAACAGAGCACCATGGGTAAAGTTGCATGACTTCAATATCCCCACCACTAACCTTCCAACTTAACTATAATTGGAAAATACTGTGACTTGATAAATCTACAAGTCGAAAAGTTGAAGTTAGTTTAGTTTGCAAGAGCGTGACAATAACACAAAGAGACTGTAACGGACTAGTGAGGAGATGAGTTCACATGTTTAATGTCCTGGACAACCTCTGTAGTCTTATTTAGACACCAAGAATCTTCACAATTCACTGGTGGAGTATTTACTGATGTATTTGATGTCAAAGAACTCTCTCTCTCTTCACCTTGTGTTAACTACAGAAATTATTTTTAGGCATCTTACAAAAACCCGTTCAGAAAACCTGTCGACTTCGAGATGAGAGAACCGGGAGTGCTAAGATGCTAACTCATGTCCGGGTTTTAACACTCATTCCTGCAGCACGCTATTCATGCCCAGAGAATTCACCTAGGAATGCACTACTGGTTTTGTTTTGTTGGGTTTGTCTCATGTAGCATAAATGGACTACAACTGCATTTCACTGTGCCACTGTGTTGTACAGTGACAATAAATAAACCCTGACCATACAGAATGTCTTATGGGCCCTTAAAAATTTCCAGTGTGTACTTCATGTACCGAGGATTATTAAACAAATGATCTTTTTATATTCAAGAAGATCGTCTTAAAAAGAAGACCCAAAGTTTTATGTTGTTTTACTCAAGCATAAAGAATGCCTTTTAAGCCTTCACCAAACAACATGAGTTTGACATTTTTCGGGGCAACTCAAGTTTAGTAAGTCACAGAGCCCACATGGTAGATCTGCACTGGCCAGTAAAAGTGTCATGCAGCATGCACTACAGAAGATACTGCAACAAGCTATGAGCATTGGGGAATGTGGTTTATTATTCTTCCCTCTGTCATGTCACAGAAAACAAAAACCTGCATTAGACCTTCATATTTATGATAATGCTTATTATGCTGATCTTTCCTTTTCATCCTTACAGAGAAGGTGACGGAAATCAAAACCAACATCTTCGTCACCAGCTTCGGTCCAGTCTCTGACACTGAGATGGTAAGACACACTTTATTTAAGTTACATTCTCGACTTATACCAAATATTTTATATTAAAAACCAGCCAAAATATGGCAGGATTTTTTTCACATAATACATTGAAATAAACAGAATTTCCTTTCATCATGTCAGTCACAATAGAAATATGTTGTATGTAAACTGATTGTCTGACTCAGGGACATATTGGTCTAAATCAGTCCATCAGCATTGCTGATAATTCTAAATGAGCGTTCATTAATATGTTTTACACCAAGGTGGCTCTCTGCATTTTGTACTTAAACTCTTTAGCAAACAAATCTGTCTATGCAATATTAAATTCTCTAACCAGCCCAGCTAGAGAGGCTCCAGACGAGCCACTGCAGTTGAAGTTTGGCAAAATGTAGAGGAAAAGGCGCCAGGCTGGAGACATGTGACGCACATTTTTGTTGACAAAATGTTAAAACATGTTAAAACAGGCTGCACAGTTTGTATAATCAGAGAATATAAGAATCAGTTTAGTCCTACAGCAATGATAAATGAACATTAAATTGTAAAAAAAAAAAAAACCTCATTCATAACCATATAATTTTTTTCAAAGAATGGCACGCAGCTCTGGGGCCACAGGTTGTCGACCCCTGGACTGACCTAAACCTATTAAAACAAGAACATTACATTTTGAAACTTTAAAGTACGTCCACATTCAGTGCATATCATGGCTGATTCTACCTCACTGGCATCCTGAGCTTTTATTATTTACCAATAACAATAACATTTATTCATTAATTATCTATCTTATTCAGAGTATTAACAAAATCATTTGTGTTTGAAACAACTCTACATCAGCAGTACTAAGCATGTGGAAGGTGCAGTCGGGTGTGGCGTACTGTGTGTACGTCTTTCCTCTTTGAAAGAGGCTCCGTGTTTACCAGTGGTTCCCAACCTTGTCTTTAACATGAACCCCCCTCAGGTACCCCTCCATCAGCACCACCCCTCAGTTCCAAATGTGTTTATGTGAGTTTATCATTAACTGGATATTGTGTACAACTATTCACAATGTTGTTACAGTATAAATTCACACAGTTAAACTGCAGTATTTAGGTTAGTTTGGTCAAGTTTGCGTTTCTACTACTGGTGGCAGAAGCTGGACGTTCCATTACTTTTAGCTTCCTACTTCAACTGCATATTCATTACTTTTAGTTAGCTAACTGATGAAGTGTATATTAATTTATCTTAACTATTTTTTATGTATTTACACATTACTTTTAGCTAACTGTTTATAACTTATGTGTGACTTATCTGCTCACTTGCCATGTTACATTCAATTAAATAAAACACAAAAAACATACCTGACAGCAAGAGGTAAAAACAGAATTCTCCGTCAGTTACAACCATATTAACTCAAGTCCCTACACGAATTAAGTGACATAGGAAAACATCAAAATTACTATGAGAGCAATGTTGCTTATCTCTCCCATGGAGCACAACAGCAAAAGGGGAGAGGTAAGGCGGGAGACCACCCCTCTATAGGTGGGGTACTCCCAAAGGTGAACGTAGGGGTACAGAAACTGAGCACCATGACCCACCAGTTGGGAACCACTGCGCTATGGTACAAGTATCCCCAGTTGGTAATCATTGTGTACACAAAAAGCTTTGCAGCGTTTATGATATTACTCCCCATATACATGTACAGTATCTAATGGGCTAATTCATTAATGTGTTTTTCAGTTTTAACGTGTATTTTTTCCTGCAGGAGTACACTATTGACGTGTTCTTCCGTCAAAGCTGGAAAGATGAGAGACTTTGCTTCAAAGGCCCGATGGAGATGCTCCCCCTGAATAACCTCCTGGCCAGCAACATCTGGACTCCGGACACCTTCTTCCTCAACGGGAAGAAATCCATCGCACACAATATGACAACACCCAACAAGCTCCTGCGGCTGAAAGACGACGGCACTCTGCTGTACACCATGAGGTAAGCTCTCCCACGGCTGACCTTTAATCCTGCTCTGGACCACAGTGGGGTAAACATTTCTTTTCCAATCAGTCTAACAACTAAAACACGGAATCATAAGAGCGGGCGAGTGCAGCGCAGAAATGTTGTGTAATCCAATTAGAGATGACTAAAACATCCATCAGCCTGTAATACTTCTTTGGTAATGGTTTTTAAGACCCCTGCTGCACTCATGCAGCCCACACACTCATACTACATGTCTCGCTGGTGCACTGATGCGTCATCATGTTGTCCTCAGTCTGTATACTGGAGGTCAGAGCAAGTTGAAATGTTTGCATTGACCCAGTACTCTGACACAGAGAGCCCTGTGTTTCACTCCTCCATCAATAACTGTGTCACCACGTCACAGAAACCCTCACTTTAACAGGGAGACAGCCTTTTACTGCTCTAACACTGCATTTAAATGCTGTGTATGAGCTGCTGTGGAGGTGTAAGGAACATATTGTTTGCAGTTTCTGATACTTAAAATTAGTGGTGGAATGTAACTAAATAACTTTATGGCACTTCTCAAGCCACGTCCTACTAATACTCTGCTGTAGTTCAAGGGGAAACATTGTACTTTTACTTCACAACATTTACCTGACGGCTTTAGTTACAAGTTACTTTTCAGATTGAAGGAACAGTGAAACCCATAAAATGAAAAACAAAACAAAACTGATTTTTCCTCTCACCTGTCATGCTATTTGTCAGGCTAGATTTTTTTTGGTGTGAGTTGCTGAGTGTTGGAGATATCGCCTATAGAGATGTCTGCCTTAACAAGATGGCGCTCAGCTTGTGGTGCTCAAAACACGTTTGAAAAACTCAACATCAATGTCTCTTTCCAGAAATTATGACCCTGTTACTCAAGATAATGCACAGACCTTGCTGTGAGCAGTTTCATGTAGGAACTATTTTCTTTCTGCCAAATCACACCCTCACCGCGCAGAAGGAAGAGTGCATCTACTGCTAGCTCACCTAGCACAACTGAGCTAGCTAATGTTACAGCTCAGCCGAGGAGGACGCCATTAATGTTTACATCTGTCACAAGCTCAAGCTCTTTTCCATCGGTCTGTGCGATGATACAGTTGGCAGGTGTAGTTCGGTAGGAAGAAAATAGTTCCTACATGAAACTGCTCACAACAAGTTCTGTGGATTATCTTGAGTAACCAGGACATGATTTCTGGACAGAGACATCGCTGTTGAGTTTTTCAGAAGGCAGATATCTCTTCGGCCGATATCTCCAATGGGTGTGAAGTGTCCCTTTACATGTTTTGCACCCAGAACATATGAAGATGTTCAAATAGAGCTGAAACGAGTCGTCAGTTAATAGACAAACTGACAACTGATAGAAAATTAATTATTAAAGGCAACTATTGTAATAATATTTTAGTTGGTTTTCACGCAAAAAAGCCAAACATTTCATGGTTTCAGCATCTGAAATGTGAGGGTTTCTTTTAAACCATTTTAGTAATTTAATTATTTTTAAAATTATTTTTGGGCTGTGGGTAATTAGTAATAAATAATTATATTATTAATTTCAATTTATTATTATTTGTTTTATCTTTTATTACTGTTTTACTATTTATTTTTTGCACTTTCAGCTCAAAACAGATGCTACAGAGTATTTCAAAAGACAATTACAGCAGATACAAAAGGTGTTTGTTTAAACAGAACATCACATACATACCAACAACAGTGTAGGAATCAATTTCGACACCATTTTTCTCAATTTTTACAATTTTACAAACCAATCAGTGGATTTAATGGTGAAAATATAATGAAAATGATAAAAATGATCTCCACCTCAACCAGCTGCAACAGTTAAATACTGATTTTACATTAATGCATGAGTCATAATAACCTAATAAGATAATATGTAATAGTTCAACAGTCACAGGGGACGTTGTTCTACATTAAGTACTTTAAATACTTTAAGTACTTTTACTTGTTACAGAGTATTTTTACACTGTGGCATGAGTGCATTTACTTAAGGAGCTGAATACTTCCTCTACCACTGCTCTAAAATCACTTAAGGGTTGACATGTAATTTTTGTTCCAGTCATATCATACTAATCCATTTATGATCTGATTTATGGACGATTTTTAAGAGCAACACATCGCAGTCCACACTGCAGAGAGAGATATTATATCCGAGATAGAAACGTCTCATATGTCATCGTCTTATCAGGACATAAATCCTCCGGATCAAATATTAACACAGGAAGTTGTAGGAAATGGACGTGGGTGCATGTCAGAAATGACTATTGATCCGCTGAACTTTTTAAAATTGCTGTGAATCTGCGGCACATTTTCAAACACTGCAGACCATTAGAAATGGGATCACGTTGGGCCATTAATGTGTTTGTGTTCTGGGAACAAGGTTATTAGAGAAACATTTTATGCATGCATTACTCTCCTACACTGCTTGTTCACAGAACAAGTAGTGTGTGCAGTGGTCTCACTGCTGCTCCATTTAAATACCTCTTACAGGGAAAAGAAAGTTTGGATCCAGATGGTGCCGCCTCACAGTACAGAACATATTTACTATTGATCACAATCATTTCTTATTAATCTAAAATATGAAATGTACCTGTGTGAAATGACAGTCATCGCAGCAGTTAAGCTTTCTTGTTTCAGTTTGTGATTCATCTTTTAGTCTGCACTGTTCTTATTGGTCATTATGACATATCAGAGCTCTGCAAAGCTACACTCACCTGGATATCATCTTGTGGTTCTGCATTTTGATAATAACACACTTTATGTTTGTGATTCATCTGTAATAAACACTCATATTCATATTTAAAACAAAACTACTGTAACACTAAAGACACTTTCTTAGACTGCAGTCATTGATAATTTGCTCTTATTCATTATTAATTTATCAGCTGATTATTTTTTTGTATAATTTCCCCAAAAAATTCAAATTGCTTGTTTTATTAAGCCAACCATTCAAATCCCAAGGACATCTAGCAAAAGCAGCAAATCCTCACAACTCAGGAGCACGGCAATTATTAGGGATGCACGATGATTCCGTATCAGCCCATATTGGCTTTAAAATGAACTATCAGAATCGTTAATTCCACTACAGCAGGGACTTGATGATCACTAAAATTAGTTGGGGAAAAAAGTGGGTATTGGATATTGTCAAAAAATCCAATATTGTGCATCACTAGTTATTAAAGATAACTAAAACTAAACTTAAAAACTAAAACTAGGTGTGGAAAAAACATTTTAGTTAACTGAATTAAATATAAAGTCTGAAATGAAATTATATTGGGTACTTCCAAAACTAAACCCTGTCATGTGTGATATATATTACGACCTCAGTCAAGATTTTTTTCATTTGTGTTTTTATTCCTCTATAACCATGAAAAAACTTGAGATGTTAATTTTTTTCAACTGAAGAATATAAACCAATTTAAAGATATATATCAAGTGAAACTATAAGAACATGATTTAATGCTGTTAAACTAGTGTCACATAGTTGAACATATTCTGATATGTTCAGTGCCATGCAGAAACGTTGAACTTGACACCTCAGCCTCTCCTCTCTCTTTCTACACCTCCCCTCTGCTCCCCTCCCTCATTCAACTCCTTCCTCTTCACTCCTCAGCCCCCTACACTTCTCCTCCTATTGGATTATATCATTTTTTCAATGAACATTTTCTGCAAAAATAGCAAAAATATTGTCAAAATATTGTTTCTCTTACTAAAACTGCACATTTCCCTCTGATAATATAAATAAAAAAGTCACTGCAGATGAAGTTTTGTCAAGAACAACAACAATATAGCCAGCAATGCATGTTGTCCAGTTTAGCGGACAGAGGATTAATTGTAATTACCACATAAAATTGAAATTTTAACAACTATATTACTCCTTAGATGTTACTTAATGTTACCAGATTTTATTCACCTGCCAGAGTCTGCTGATATAGAAGGATTGGCAAGATATTCTTGAGCTGCACAACATTTCTTGTGTTTTGTCGGCCATCTTGGTTTTGAGAGATTTGTGTTGCAGTGACAACACCTGGCCAGTGGGTGGCAGTGTATGGCATGACGCACCAGGGTCCACTGTAGTGACTTAAATGCAACTACAGCATCAAAACCCAGCATATACAAGAAAATGGCTTTTAAATAGCTGTCCACCGCAGTGACCAGTATATGTGAAAGGGTTAAAAAAATAAATCAGGAAATGTCTGAGTGTTAATCTGACAATTTGGTCACATTTGTAAACACAACAAGCAGGAGGAAGCAGTGGTGCACATGTTTAATGCAACTGGGTTTCTTATACAAAATGCTGTGTTTGCATTGTAGTGCCTGTTCTGAACTTGTTAAACTTTGCCCTTGACAAAAGCTAACCCACTCTGGAAACTAACTAAACTAAACTGAACTGAACCATTTTTTAAAAAATAAAATGAAAATAAAAACTAATGAAAAATACAGAAACATAATGACTCTGCTAAGAAGCTGGAATCAGAAAACTTTTGGCATTTTCGCTTGAGGAATTAAAAAAAAAAAGTTTTCGATGATTAAAATTTTTTGTCAATCAGCATGTGAATTCATCAATTATTAATGAACTTAAACTTTCTGATTGAAACATGCAACATGCTCTTTAATGGGGAATTAAGATAAATAAAAGAGCAACACTTTGTTTGCGATACACACACACACACACACACACACACACACACAGAGTATAATCCATATCTAGAGAATGACAGTCTCATTTTATTTCTATGTTGAATCTCACTTCCTGTTAAGCTTGGCGTAATATTCCACTACAGAGTGATGTATGCAGTAACATATAGACCCACTGAACAGGCCAGTGAGCCAAGACCGATTATTATACAGTATGATATTATGCTCTGTAATAACTACACTCACTATGAGGCAATAAATTCCAGACTCATCGGTTTTATTTTATTCCTTTGCTCACTGTTGACATCACAGAGGCTGCTGTGTGCTTTGTATGTTGATGTGGGGCAGCAGCTGAGGCAGCATGTGACCTTTAATATCCTAATATCCTCTGTGGTCAACTCAAATCTTATGTATGCATCGTATTAGTATGATATAGTATTAGTTATTATGTTTGGTGGTGGATGTGCTCAAATCATACTGAAGTAAAAGTAGTCACATTATCAATATATAAAATATCATACTATAAAAAGTGAAAATTATGCAAAATCAAACTTAAGCAAAAGTGCATACAGATTATAAGAAAAAATGTTAAGTATCAAAAGTGAAAGTACGTATTATGCACAACTACTCAAAGTGGTGTCCTGTTATAGTGGAATATAATATTATATAATTTAATTATTATCATTGATGCATTTTAATGTCATAGTGGCTCAATGTGAAGCTATTTGAGCTGTTTTACATTCACTACTGGGTGGTCGCTCCCCCTTTAGTTCACACTGTTCAAAATGATCTTACTTCATACTCTGCGACAGCATCGTATAGAAGTTTGGTCCAACTCTGCACTGATGCTGTATGATGTTGTCTCAGGGTCGTAGCTACAGACAGAGGGCAGCAGGGCATTTACTGTAAGGGCTCCACAGTGGTGGAAGAAAACTCGCAAAACTAATTTTTATAAACTGGCGTTTGATTAGACTTTTTGTGTGTGTGTGTGTGTGTGTGTGTGTGTGTGTGTGTGCGTGCGCGTGCGTGTCTTTGTTTGTTTGCTTTACACTTTCATCAATATGCTTATCCTTATTGTCTCTTTTATTTGTTTCAGTTTTTAGCTACATTGAACTTACTCCAGTCTTGTAATTGCACTGTATGTATATATGTATATATATATATATATATATATATGGGTGCTTATAGTGCATGTCTTATACAGTAACAGCAAATGTCTAATAAATAAATAAATAAATTAATGAATTAAAACAAATTAGAAATAATTTTAAAAAAGGAAAAACGTGAAAAATATTTGGTTTCACAGTTTGAGTTTGTAATGGCTATAATAATTAAATTAATAATAAATAATAAAAAAATAATAAAAATTTATGACCTTTTCTAACATAAACAGTGTCACTCAGTGTTAGCAAATCAAAATTATGTAATATAGGATATAGGATATAGGATATATATGTATAGGTAAAACAATAATTTAATAGTAATTCTTAAAAAAAAATCAAATCTATATTCCTCCATAAATACGCACCATAATCTACTCTGATTTACAATCAGCTGATGCTCTCAGACACACAAAAAGTGTGCACCGTGCACATGGTGTCTGATTCACTTCTAGATACGTCCACACCAGTGATGTACTCCAAGTAGCTCCACTTCTCCACATATTTCTCAGAACTGAAAGTGATTTGTTCATATGATGCAACTTTTGCCACTTCTGTGCACCATTCTTTAACAGAGGGCTTTGTTGAGGGATTTTTCAGTTACAGCAATACATCATATTTTATGATATAACTATGTCTATGACATGTATGATCAATGAAAATCACATTTAACTACAGCTGTAAAATAAATGTTGGGGAGGAAAGCGTGTAATATTTCCTTTTGAATTGTAGCACAGTAGAGGTAGACAGTAGCTTCTAGTATTAGGGTTTGATATTGAGTGTATCAAACTGTAACAGTTGGGTAAACTTTTAAAATGTCTTTAAATCGGTGCCATCAAGTGGTAGCACTGTGGACAGACACAGCAGCTCGGCTTTTATAAGAGTGTCCAGCAGAGGGCAGCATTACATAAGGCTGTGCTCTCACTGTCCCCTGTGCCGACCGGCAGTGTTCCTACATTATATTCACCAGATGAGCTCATTTGTTTTGTTTCCAATAAAGCTGCAGTCATGCTTTATTGCGTCTCCACAGACAGGTGGCGCCGCACTCCATGAAATAATCCTCACCTGGTTTCTTTAATAATTCTCGAGCTCATTGTTGCACACACAGCTGCATCATTCTAACTGGGTAGATATGATCAGGGGTCCCTCTGCTGGCTCAGCTGCTTATTGCTACTGTGCTGTTAACTGTGTGAGACACACTAATGAAGACAGACTGTTTTCACTGGTTAATGCCTGTACACAAAATTAAGCACAACTCAGATGAAACAATTATTCATAATAAGTGTTCATTTGTGATAATGGTGATGATGATGATGATGATGATGATGATGTCTCATCTTACAGCCAATTTACTCCCTGACTTTGACTTCTCCTTTCAGACTGACTATATCAGCAGAATGCCCCATGCAGCTGGAGGACTTCCCCATGGACGCCCATGCTTGTCCCCTTAAGTTTGGAAGCTGTGAGTAAACACGCCTTTAAGCAAACGCACACAGTGAGTAGCAGCGTTAAATAATGCAGGTAAAGGTGTAAATGTTTCATGTCTGCAACCTGGGCACCAGTGACACAGTAAAAGTGTTACCAAACCTTTCCTAAAATACACGAGGTCACCGGTGAGAAAAGTGGCGTGTACTTGCAGTTTTGACATGACATCCGTTTCAGTGTCTGTACCCATGCAGGGGATACAGGGATGGATGTACCGGGGTGTGTTTGACAGCCCGTGTCCCTCAGGTGTGAAGCTATTGTTGCGGCGGCGCAGGATATAGCCATGTAGACACTGACACACTGCTCCTGATTAAGCCATTAATCAACATGTCAGAGCTGCTCTCCTGCATCCTTCACTGCCTCGCCTACGTTTAATGGGAAATATTTGAAACACACAGAGTGGAAGCAGCCATAGGCACACACACACACACACACACAAAGCTATATTTACCACCAAGGTAACCTTTAAAAACTCAATCCCACACCTTGTGTCCAGGTTTCCCCATGACTTCTAAGCTAGTTAGGTCGCCTCACACAGCTCCAGTGCTGCAAATATATCTGGGGATCTCCTGTCATGTAAGCTTAAGATTAGCATTTGAGGTCTTCCCTGCCGCTGACGTATTGAGGGTAATCTCGAGCCTCGACACTCTCCAGGCTCAGGGACAGAGCCGCAGTATGCTTCGTGCTCGGTGTCATTTAGCCACGCCCACGCCCGCTTTGGCTACCTCAACCTCCAGCTGAGCCCGGGGATGGGGATAATCAGAGCGACTCACTGAGACTGCCTTGGCTTGTGCACTTGATGGCAAGTGATCTGATGTCGATTAGCTTCTCAGCGAGCCCGGAAAGTCAAAACCTTCTTGAATTAATTATGCAAAGTTTAAATACAGCGGCCTTTACCTGCCGCCCTGCAGATTCAGTGTAACTGAGATTACAGGTGACTGAGACACTTAAAGGTCCAGTGTGCAGGATTCAGGGAGATATATTGGAGTATAATACAATGAGTGTGTTTTCTTTAGTGTGTAATGACCTGGAAATAAGAATCATTGTGTTTTTGTTACCTTAAAATGAGCTGTTTATATCTACACAGGGAGCAGGTCCTCATCTACAGAGACAGCATGTTGCACTGCCATGTTTCTACAGTAGCCCAGAATAGACAATACAAACTCTAGATAGGGCCATTTACGTTTTTGAGTCGGCCACTGTAGTGAGCAGCCCCTCTGCGATGAGCCGAACAGCCTTGGAAAACACAATTTTTTGATGTGAAACTACTTTATTCAGTGTTTTAATCACTTGATCTGTTTGTTTTGGAGAGGAAGAAACCTCTTCAGATATTTCGGCTCCCGGTAAAAACCTCCTGAACAATGAACACTGAAGGAATCCTAAGTGGGAGTTCACGCTTGGTGTATGTGAGGAGTTTCAGCTGGTTGCAATCTGAAGTCGTCACCCCAACATGCCACTAAATCGTACACGCTTACTTTAAATTGATTTCACTTCAATTCACTTTATTTATCCCTACAAAGGCAATAGTGCAGTATTGTATATAGCAGTATAATATAGGGATGTGACAATATATAATAGATGTATAATCATGAATATCATGTCCAGCAGCACCCAAAGAGATGTCTGGGCGACCAAGAATAAAAGAGACTCTGCTGCACAAACACCAACTTTAAAAAAAACGCCAAAGATCTTAATTAGTATTGGCACGTTTCATTTCAAAAGATATGACGCCATTTTAAATAGATGAAAACCTGTCCTTTAAAGAAAGGTTTTTCTATAAAAGGGATGTTTACTAAAAAAGATGTGTGTCCTCTCTTTGATGCTATCAAAACATTTGTTCACAAAATGTTTGGTTCAGTGATTCCAGGATGTTTTAATGCTGCATTCACATGGAATCACGGGAGACAGCAGATGGATGACACTCAGTACGTTTACATGGACAGTTTAATTCCACTTTCATTCGGAATGAAAGGCCATTCTGATTGAAAGTGGTCATTTCGATTGAAAATTAAATCTGATTAAAGGCGGTGGTTTATTCCGTTTGTCATTCGGAATGAAAGAATTTTGCGTGCATGTAAGTTCATTCCAGTCTTTCTGCGCATGCTCGTTTCCTTGCCCTTCTGGCGCGATAAAGTATATAGCGCGCATAGCAACGGGCTGAGATAGAGCAGTCGGACTTGTTGCACTCACCGGTTTCCATACGCTAAAGCACGGTCTTCTGTCTCCCTTCTCCTCCTCAACAGACGAAGCATTAGCAGAACAAGGTTGTTGTCGTACTGCTGCTTCAAGAATATAAGCAAAACAAGCCTGAAAAAGGCACTAAGAACGGCGACGTCAAGCATCTTGTTATCCGGAGCGAGGACTACAGTGTTTTCTTCCGGTAAACGTAAACACGTAACATCCGCCCCGCCCCCTGTCCAATCAGAAACCTTCCCTGCCCCAAACCTTGCACAGACCTGAATAAAGGCGATTAAACTGATCTCCCATGTAAACGCTCATTCGGAATGAATATTTCCCATGTAAACTACCTGGAAAGACTTTAATTCAGAATGATTTCATTCAGATTTATTTCATTCTGAATGAGAAGCCATCATGTAACCACACCCAGTGTCTCGACAGCACGGGAAAAACAAACCAACAAGCCACGTGATGCAATGTGACATACATGACGATATGTTGCAATGGTGATGTCATATTGTTTGTGAATATATTTGGACGTGTAATATATATATATCCGGCTGTGAATTTCAGTGCAGAGGACGACAAAAAGTAAAATTATTTTTCCTGTAGATGGCAGTGCTTGTTACAATCACCATCGCCAGTGTTCTCTGCAGGCCTCACCTCATTTGCTGTTGTGCTCTTGTCTACTAAAATGACCTCCAGTTTGATGCGTACCGTCTGCCCGACTCTAAAGATTCTGAGCATATTTGGCTGATTATTAGGACAGTATCATGAATCAGTCATTTAGGCCGAGCTAATCGTGACATGCATAGTGTCATCATAATAATAGTAACAGAGGCATTTTCAATTTGTGCATGAACATAAATACCATAAAAGAATCTAAATACTGCAGAAGAGGTTTTACACTTGGCTGAGGTGTAAACGTTGTATCAATAAAAGCTGGTAAAGTGCAGTGGAAGTGGATGTTCATGGATAAATCATGATCATCATCAAACATCATGGAAACAAACATAAATTTAGTTTTCTTCTGCCAGTTTTCTGGAATTTTGATGAAAAACTGTGCTACATTTAAATGTAAACCTGACTACTGTTAATCACAAAACCACCAAAGGCTATAAGCCTAAAAACTAGATTATCAAATAAATGTAAATATCAAAAAATATGTAAAATATGCTGGGAAAAAGCATTAATATACATACATGGGCGGAGATAAGGTGTAACAGAGCATTACAATAGAGGTGACAAAGTGAGCTGTACAGTATCCAGGATGCTAACTGAAGAATTGGAAGTGAATACAAGTGAATAGAACTGAATGATGATTTGTGTCACAGTAAAACATAGAGCCCATGCGAGCTGAAAAAGTTACCGTGGAGCAGTGTATCCTGTTTCCTCCGGCTCCATTAACCCTAGCTAATCCTTTGACCTAATGGACAGCACTCGCCCATGAGCTCAAGGCTTTCAGAGCTACAGTAGACCTGTCCTTTGACGTTGTGTTAATCACCTCTCATGGACTCAACTTTACTCTCAGCCTCGTCCTCTGCCTCATACTCCTTCACTGCAGCTCCAAACTGTGTGACGGCGTACAGTCGTATCTTTGGCACGGTTTGAAGCTCTAATTAATCTTTACTAACTTCTCCACTGTGACTGTCCGTACAGTCTCCTCTCTCTGCCTCCACGTGTATTTGCTTTCTTGCAAAAATCTCATGTCTGTTAAATATGAAGCTCCAGCCAAAAGATGTTACCGTAGCCCAGCATGAAAACTGTGACATTTAACAGACAACTATGAGAGTGATATCGACCTTCTCATCTGAATCTTGGCAAAAAAGCAAGTAGGTGTTATATCAAACCCTCTGACAGTACAGCTGAGGTCCAGGGAAAATGGCAGTGGGAGAAGAGACGAAACAACAGCACACAGTAAGAGGAGAATGAGACAGAGATTGGTCAGCTATTACAAACTGAATCTTCTCTCTTATTGGCTGGACTGCAGCAAATTTGGGGCCGAAGCTCACGTTTTTAAATGTTTATTTCAACAGCAGAACATAGATAGAGTTCAGCGTCTAGACTCCGGCCTCATCACTCCCTGCAGATATGCTACGTGAGATATTGGGGAGTGATGATTAAATATTTCCCCCCTGAGCTGGAGCCTGCAGGTGGATGCTGGGTGGAGGTGGGGCTGATAGAACGAGCAGCAGGGCAGCATTGGCACTGACAAGCCGGAGAGAGAGCTGGGAAGATTTTGCAGCTTAAATAGACCGCCATATTGAGAGAGTGTGCTTGCACATGACATATGGAGAGTGGTGCATGACGTGTGTGTATGAATCAGTGCAGCTTGAGCTGACTGCCTGAACTGGCTCGCTAGCATTGCTGCAGCACAACATGTTTGTTACTCTACCCACAAAGCTCGACCCAGTGAGCTCTACAGTATTACATTTGTTGGTGTCACTGTTGTTTTTGTCTGTATGAATTTATATTTTCCTCTATATGTGTTTCAAATTTGGCATTTCAATCCTATATTTGTCTTGTGTTGACACAGCTTGATAAATTACAAGACTAAGGTAGTGTGTGTATAGTAAGTGTGGTCGAGAGAGAGTGACGATGGATGTGCTCAGAGCTGACGGGTGTTTTGTGCAGAGTAAATGTTGAGTGTAGGTTTCAGTTTGTCTGTTATCAAATGCTGCAGCTCCTCAAGACTCAGGTAAAGTTCCTGTTTCTTGCTTCCTAGCTGCTGCCATGTTTATATTTGTCACGGTGCAAATAATAGTCTGGACTCTTAAAAAAAGTAATGCAAACAATTGC